TCCTTTCTCAACCCTTTTTCATCAGCTACTGACCTCGACAGTTTGACGAGACTATGTCACCTGTTCGTTATTTTCTTACATAAACGTCATTGAAAGGACCTGAGGATGAGCATGTTTGATCACGATCTGTATTGCTTATCATGCGAGGCTGATTGGTACGACCAAACCTGGACCGGAACCAGACAGGACATCCAAGATGAAAGCATCGAGTCATCTGAATAGAAGAATTATCAAAGCAAGAACCAGGATAAAAACCGTGCAGTCTTCCATTATCATGAGGAAGATGACGCGGTGCCCAGTCCTATTGGGAAAACGGAAACTGATTTCTTCATGTGGTAAGAGTGGGAGACAAACTTACTTGAATCTCGTTGCCGAATACATGCCATCGTTGAGTGAGATAGTTATAGTGTGCGATTCCGTGTGATCCGGCCACAGCAATACGGTTCCCGGACGAGTTGACCCCGACATACTGGTGGTCATGACAAGAGNGCGGGCGGGGGAGACGCAAAATGGTATGGTTGTTTTAAATATCATGTGTCAATGTATCACTTACCCGCAGCGGCCAGTTGTGTTTTAAATACAATGCGGGCAGACTGAGAACGTGCGGGGTTCGCAATTTGGTGAGCTGAGCACGATTGGTGAACAAGACACGTTCAGACGTTTGAAGCACCAGGTGTCGATGGTTGTCCTGCAAACCAAGGACAGTGGGGTGAGAATAACTGACCGGATTTACAAATCAAGAGTAAATGAGAGAGAGGGAATTACATGAACACATTCCAAGACACACACATTTGCTAAGCGTTTCCGGTTCTGATTTCCTCCAGTAAACTGTTCGTGCTGCTTTATCTGATTTAGTCACACAAAAGTGTTCACAAGGCAGAGGACCGCTAGGGGCGCAGGGAATTATTGAATATGCCCTAAGACTTACTGGGCAATGATGGAAAGAGAATTTTGCCACTGAACAGCTCTATATTTCTTCCGTGGTTTTTCACTCAAAATTCCAGAGTCCCGGTATGGATGATTTTTGTAATGAACCAGTTGATACTAGTGCCTGAGTTAAATCACTTTATCTGGAAATTTCATACGACGGTGTGAAATAAAAATGGCGATAGAATTGAAACAAGCAATGTTATAACGTGTGATTCGGGCACGTCAAACAGTTAAACTCCGGAAGGGATACAGATACGAAAAACTATTATGTTGTGTCCAAATGAAATCATAAGAGATAGAGTCAAATGGGTCATCGATCACGATTTCTAAAAGAATCATAAAATATAATTGGTATTATTGTTACCACGGCTGGCGTTTTATTCATTAAACATTTTCTTCACTGATTATCTTACCGAAATTAGAACGGTTGGAACAAGTATAAAAACTTGTGCTAAATCCTCATTCATTCATTCGCAACCGAACAAAGAAATGGATAGAGCAAAGGAACTTTTGCTGGCCGGAATACAGATGTCCATTTATCGAAACTTCGAATAATTATTCCATACTGCGAAAACAGTGTACCAAGTTTGTACGAGGGGATAAACTGATGTACTAAGAAACCCTGGCTCAAAAATTCATTTCTGATTCAAAATTATTGTATAGAGATATCAACTCTATAAGGAAGGTGAAATGCGGAATACCAGCCTTGAGATCGTCTGGTCATGTTTCAACCACTACTCTAGAAGCAGCAGAGTTCCTCAAAAAACAGTTCGATCAGGTGTTTGCTGCAACGACACACGAAGTATTACAGATTCCGAGAAAACTACCTGTATACCGTATCCGTCACTGGTTAACATGGCTTTTGACAGTGAGAAGGTTAGAGCAAAACTACTAACTTCGCGAAAGAATTCATCCCCAGGAGCAGACAGCATGCGTCCCCGGACTCTGATGTCGCTAGCCAATAACATTTCCGAACCGCTGGCTGTTCTTTGCCAGAGGATGTTCAACCAGGTAATAATTCTG